TCTCTGTGTGCCCCCACCCCGGGGGTCTCTGTGTGCCCCAGCCCGGGGGTCCCGGCTGCCCCAGCCCGGGGGTCCCGGCTGCCCCGCCCGGGGGTCCCGGCGCCCCCTGACCCCCGTGTCCCCGCAGACCAACATCCCGTTCCTGCAGAACGTGCTGGCCCACCCGCAGTTCCTGGCGGGCGCGGCCGACACGCAGTTCATCGACGAGAACCCCGAGCTCTTCCACCTGCGGCCGGGCCAGAACCGCGCCCAGAAGCTGCTGCACTACCTGGGTCAGCCCCGGGGGCACCTGGGGGGCATAAAAATACACTGGGGGGGATAAAAATACACCTGGGGGCACTGGGGGCACAGAGGAAACATGGGGGCACCTCTGCTGCACTACCTGGGTCAGCCCCGGGGGCACCTGGGGGGCATAAAAATACACTGGGGGGGATAAAAATACACCTGGGGGCACTGGGGGCACAGAGGAAACATGGGGGCACCTCTGCTGCACTACCTGGGTCAGCCCCGGGGGCATAAAAATACACCTGGGGGGGATAAATGTACACCTGGGGGGCATAAAAATACACCTGGGGGTACAAATGTACACCCGGGGGGCATAAAAATACCCCTGGGGGTACAAATGTACACCTGGGGGGATAAAAACACACCTGGGGGGGCATAAAACTACACCTGGGGGGGATAAAAATACACCAGGGGGCATAAAAATACACCTGGGGGGGTAAATGTACACCTGGGGGGGGTAAATGTACACCTGAGGGGCACCTGGGGGGGTCTCTCGGGGGGCTGCGAGGGATTTTGGGGGGTTCTGTGGACACACCTGGGCCCCCATGGGGCGGAGGAACCCATGCCAGGTATCTCCAGGTGTGCCGGCCCAGCGGCCCCAGGGGGGAATAAAAATACACCAGGGGGCATGAAAATACACCTGGGGGGGTAAATGTACACCTGAGGGGCACCTGGGGGGGTCTCTCGGGGGGCTGCGAGGGATTTTGGGGGGTTCTGTGGACACACCTGGGCCCCCATGGGGCGGAGGAACCCATGCCAGGTATCTCCAGGTGTGCCCAGGTGTGGGGTTTGCCCCCCCAGGTGTGACAAACCCCCCCAAAAAACCCCCAAAACCCCCAAAACCCCCAAAACCCCTCTGCTGTGGGGGTTGGGAGGAGCCTGGAGGGGGCTGGGAAGGCTTTGGGGGGCTCTTGGGGGGGTCCCTGGGGTTGTCACCCCCCGTGTCACACCTGTCCCCCCCCCCCCAGGTCACGTGATGGTGAACGGGCCCAGCACCCCCCTGCCCGTGAAGGCCAAGGCGGCGCTGGTGGAGCCCACGCCGCCCCCGGTGCCCATGGGTGAGTGGGGTGTCCCCGGGGTGTCCCCAGGGTGTCCCCAGGGTGTCCCCGGGGTGTCCCAGGGGTGTCCCCAGCGTGTCCCCAACGTGTTCCCAATGTGTCCCTGGCGTGTCCTTGTCACGTGTCCCATGCCCGACGTGCCCTGGGCGTGTGCCACCCCCTGACCCCCCCCCAGTGCCACCTCTGTCACCCCCTTCCTGCCCTTGTACCCCCCCCACTGCCCCCTGCCCCTCTGTGCCGGGGGGGGGGCTTAGTGTGGTAGTGGTGGGAGGGGCTTGATGGGGGTGTGGCACTGAGGGGAGGGGTTTAATAGGGTGGGGAGGAGCTTGTCTGGGTGGGACAGTGAGGGGAGGAGCTTCATGGGGTGGGACAGTGAGGGGAGGGGCTTCATGGGGTGTGGCAGTGGTGGGAGGAGCTTAATGGGGCGTGGCAGTGAGAGAAGGGGGTTAGTAGGGTGGGGAGGGGCTCGACGTGGCGTGTCTGAGGCCGGGCGTGTCCCCAGGCGCCACCTTCGACGTGGCCATGCGGTTCCTGCACGAGTGCCCCTGGGAGCGGCTGCGGGAGCTGCGGCGCCTCGTGCCCAACATCCCCTTCCAGATGCTGCTGCGCGGCGCCAACGCCGTGGGCTACACCAACTACCCCGACAACGTCGTGCACCGGTGAGGGACAGGGACACGGGGACACCCTGGGGACACGGGGGGACACGGGCACATGGGGACACAACGTGGTGCACCGGTGAGGGACAGGGACACGGGGACACTCAGGGACACGGGGGGGACACCATGGGGACACGGGGACACAACGTCGTGCACCGGTGAGGGACAGGGACACGGGGACACCCTGGGGACACCATGGGGACACGGGGACATGGGGACACAACGTGGTGCACCGGTGAGGGACAGGGACACGGGGACACTCAGGGACACGGCGGGGACACGGGGGGACACACAGAAACACGGGGGGGACATGGGGACACAGGGACACGGGGGGGACACGGGGACACAACGTCGTGCACCGGTGAGGGACAGGGACGTGGGGACACTCAGGGACACGGGGGGACATCGTGGGGACACACAGAAACACGGGGGGGACACGGGGACACAACGTGGTGCACCGGTGAGGGGGGACAGAGACGGGACACGAGGGGACACAGGGGGACATCGTGGGGACACACAGGAACACAGGGGGGACATGGGGACACAAGGACACAATGTGGTGCACCAGTGAGGGGACACGGGGGGACATTGTGGGGACACACAGGGACAGGGGAGGGGACTTGGGGACACCATGGGGACATGAGGACATGGGGACACAGCATGTTGCACCGGTATGTGGGGACACCATGGGGACATGGCAGGGCAGAGAGGGACATGGGGACATTGGGGACATGGAGGGATGGGAGACAAGGGACATTGGGAGACACGGGGACATGGCAGGCCAGGGGACACTGGTGACACACAGAGGTGACAGTGGTGACACAGAGGTGACACCGAGCACACACCAGCACAGCACCCAGCCCCTGAACGCCCCCACGTGCCCCCAGCCCACGCCACACCCCGTGGGGACACGGGGACACCCCGCAGTGTCCCCAGCCCATGTCACACCCTGTGGGGACACGGGGACACCCCGCAGTGCCCCCAGCCCATGTCACACCCCGTGGGGACACGGGGACACCCCGCAGTGCCCCCAGCCCACGTCACACCCCCAAACGCCCCCGTGACCGCCGCGCGCGTCCCCAGGTTCTGCGAGGTGGCCGTGGCCAACGGCATGGACATCTTCCGCGTCTTCGACGCCCTCAACTACGTGCCCAACCTGCTGCTGGGCGTGGAGGCCGCGGGCAACGCCGGCGCCGTGGTGGAGGCCGCGCTCTCCTACACCGGCGACGTGGCCGACCCCACGCGCACCAAGTACAGCCTGGACTACTACCTGGGGCTGGCCCGCGAGCTGGTGGCAGCGGGGACACACGTGCTCTGCATCAAGGTCTGGGGGGGTTTGGGGGGTCCTGGGGGGGTTTGGG